GCAATGAACACTAGTACTCTGACGTGATTACTGCCCACAGTCAACAAAATGCTGGGATCATTGATTGTTTATGGAGCATTTCCAAAATACTTAGTAAATACGAAATGTCCTTTGTATGTTGGAATGACACTTGTTGAAGCATGCATGACTAGAATCCTGCAGGGGGCAGGTATCCCATATTTAGCATCAGGATTTATGTGCCAGGCTTTGTGCTATGTGTCAAAGCAAAAAGACCAGGCCTCTTGCAATCTGGGTTTTGTTTGTGAGTTGAGATTAATAGAGAAGTTGTTCCTTTCAACCTATAATTATTATCCTGTAAGAATACTTAGATCAAGTATTTTTTTTTTTATTTCCTTTTTTAAAAAATTGATTTTAGGTTTGGAGAGATCAAGGAGTTTTAAGGTAGACATTGTTAAAACTGTAGAAACCTTTCACACCATGTCTTGCTTCTTGTCTTCATTCTCTTAGTTAACCTTGAATCCTGCTGATCTGAAAACATTTTACATAGTTAAAGCATTATAGACATGTAGGGCAAGGAAGGAGTAAAATAACATTTTGATCATATCTGTCTGAGATATTTAAAATGCTTCAGTTTCTTTCCAACCTTCTGAGCTAGCTAGCATGTCATTGCATTACATTTTAAAGCAAACCATCTTTAGCTCTGCTTATTTTCTGTAGGACATACCATGGTGAAGTGAAAAGAGTATGGAGTTTTGATGGAATTGAATTTAAATCCTAGCCCTTACTAGTTAGGTGACCTTAGGAAATTTATGTAATTTTTCTGAGCCTCAATTTTCCTTGTAAATAGGGGGTTATAAAATTTAAATGATACAAATTCTATGCAGCTTGACAGATAGGATTTCTAAAGAATGATAGCCACTGCTTTCTTTCTGTCAGCTTATTTTAGACCCATTCTTAAAGGCACTGATGTCCAGCCTTCTGTTATGACGGGATGTTCTATGTTTATACTGCCAATATAGCTATTGAGTAATGAAAATGTGAGTAGGGTAATGGAGAAATTTAATTTTTAACTCTAAGTGGTTGCTTATTGGACATGCAACTTTAAGGTCCACTATGACCCACTGTTTTTGCTTCATGAAGCCTTCCTTGACCAGTCCTACTTTTTTTCTTAACCTTACTTGCTTTCTACCACTTATTTGGTGGTATGTTAATTTCTGTGAGTCTTGTCTTTCTGGCTAGATTGTATCTGAGGTTATGGATTTTTAAATCTCCACATTGCTGCATGAAAAAGCACACAGTGATAAAAGTATAACTAGTATTTTTAGCTAACAAGTTTTAGATGATCATTATAAGTAAATAAAAAAATTTTCTAGCTAGTAATTAGGTGAAGAGTAGGGAATAGTGTGAAGGTTGCCTGCAAAGATGAACTGCGCATCTAGTATGTATTTGACCTTAAAGTTCAGATTACACTCAAATGCTGGAAGAGGAAATTAAAGCAAGCCTCTTTCTTACGTTGCCATCTTGTGGCGGACTTGGGTTCCAAATGTTACTAATTCAATTTTCCTGTGTAAAGGGAAGAGTTTCTTCAGATTATTTTGACAAAGGATTACGAAGAGTAAAGGTTAAATACAATCCAGCATTGGCTCAAATGAAATTGAAACATGCTTTGAAAAAACTGACTATTTTGGATTATTTTCTCAGCTGAATCTTGCAAGTTCTTGACTCCTTTCTCTTGCGTAACTGTTTTCTTACTGTGAGACTGTTGACCTTTATAGCCTTTCAGAAGTTGGTTAGACTATTGTGCAGTTTTATCCAAACTTGTAAATTTATACAAAATTAAGCTTGTGTACAGGTCCTGCTCTGTTTTTTGTTTTTTTTTTTTTCTTGAGACAGGTCTTACTCTGTTGTCTAGGGTGGAGTACGGTGGCATGATCACAGCTCACTGTAACCTTGAACTCCTGATCTTGCCCTATTTGATATTGAGCTTGGGCATTTGCTGACATTCTCCGAAAATGAGTCAATAGTTTATATTAATGAATGGAGAGTTAAATAAAGGATGAACAGTTACTCTAATTTTTCTTGTGACTTGGTGTAGAACATGCTGGTGTGAGTTGTCATGTAATCATAACCTTTGTGAATTTATTTTTTAAAAATTTTCCAGAAATGATCCTAGGTAATTGATAGATCCTGTGGTTCAACTGGATTTCTAGATAGAAGCTGGATTCATGTGATGCCAGAGGTAAGAGTAAGAGCAAAATCTTCATTTTTACCTCATTTGGATTTCTAATCACCTAGCAAGACTTGGGACTCAGTGTTATTAGTGGATGGAATTTGGCAATTGAAAAAAATCCCCAGTTCTAACCTTAAGAGAATTTTCCTGTTTAGGGATAAGGAGCCAGTGCTGGTTTGCCCTTCCCCAGTCATTTACAGTTTGCCATGATGAAATGCATGTTAAGTCCGTGTTTCAGCTGATCAGCCTGATTAAACGCATGCTCTGAGCAGACTAAAGCTAGGGGCAAACACCTGCAATTGAATTCTGCTTGCTGGAATTAATACTGGGATTTAGTCTGTAATCCCAAGTGATTCTTAAACCTTAATAAATTATGAATTTATATATAATAAATTTATACAAATAATAAGTTAGGAATTTGAGACTAATTTATTGTGCTTTGATCTTTTGTGATATCTCTATAAGCCCAAAAAATCACTTTTGTGAGTTAGAACTAGGGTCAGGAATCCTTAATCTAAAAGTTCAAACACTACAGAAAAAGCACTGGCAACTGGTATAATTCTATAGGCAATTTAGCCTGGCAGTTTTAAACCAATCACTATTTTATCAGTCTATACATATAGATTAAGGGAAACAGAGTTGGTTAAATCAATTTTGTGAAGATACAATACAACACTATATAGTCACTTAAAAGTTATGATACAGGTTTATGTTTATTGAAATAGAATGATATTCATGACACATGAAAAACATTATAGAGCAATGTGTTTCTGCTTAAATATTTTTATATGTATATGTTTGCTTAAGAAATCAGAAAGGATATATATACTAAAATACTAGCGGTTATTTTCTCTAGAATTGAGTTCTACAAGTAATCTTGTATTATTATAAACCTATTTTCTAATTTTATTGTATTCATGTATTGTAATATTTTAAAAGTTATTTTAAGTAACTTAGGACAAGCTTATATTCTTTACCCATGCCTGCATTTTCAGCAGAGAATTAGGTAGAAAGAAGGGTGAAATACGGGAAATACAAACAACTCAAAGTAATATCAGGACTTGAAATAATTTTTTAGCTTTTGTTGTCTTTTGCAGAAGTAAAATTTCGAGAGACTGAAACCAGATCTGAGTCTCACTGTTCCAGTCTGGACCTCTTTGGTGCTGTAAATCCTGGATATACAGTAGATGATTACTACATTTTTCTTTTATGGTAAGGCTTACGTTGATATTGAGAAGCTTTGACATATATATGAGTCTTTGAAAATTCAGGTTTGTGACTTCGTGGCCAGCTGCTAAGGTGCTATAAGTTTCATTTTTTAAAAGTCAGTTGAGGCCAGGTGTGGTGGCTCATGCCCGTAATCCTAGCACTTTGGGTGGCCAAGGTGGATGGATTGTCTGAGCACAGGAGTTTGAGACCAGACTGGCCAACATGGCAAACCCCATCTCTACTAAAAAAATACAAAAAATTAGCTGGGCGTGGTGGTGTGCGCCTGTAGTCCCAGCTACTCAGGAGGCTGAGGCAGGATAATTGCTTGCACCCAGGAGGCAGAAATTGCAGTGAGCAGACATAGTGCAACTGTACTCCAGCCTGGGTGACAGCGAGATTCCATCTCCAAAAAAACAAAAACAAAAACAAAAACAAAAAAGTCAATTAAAGATGTTGAGAAGTAGCATAGTATAGTATATATATGGGTTCTGGAGTCAGACTGGGTTCAAACTCATGCTCTCTATCACTTCACCAGTTATGCAGTATTGGCAAGTTTCCTAATTATCTGTGTCTTAGTTTTATATTTTATATTTATATTTTAGAGAATGGCAATAGTATTTGACTCAGGGTGGTTATTTTGAAGATTAAATTAGTAAGGGTGTGGGTAAAGCATATGATAAATGCTCAGTTTGATGTTAACTATTTTGTCTTCAGAATCCATGTTTATATTTCTCTTAGATTCTGTACTACCTGGCAGTTTTTGACATCTGCATAATAGATTGACGAAAATTCTTTGTTTTGGCCTGACGTGATGGCTCACGCCTGTAATCCTAGCACTTTGGGAGGCGAAGTGGGCAGATCACCTGAGGTCAGGAGTTCAAGACCAGCCTGGCTAACATGGTGAAACCTTGTTTCTACCTAAAATACAAAAATTAGCTGGGTGTGGTGGTGTGCACCTATAATCCCAGCTACTCGGGAGGCTGAGGCAGGAGAATCGCTTGAACTTGGGAGGCAAAGGTTGCAGTGAGCTGAGATCGTATCACTGCACTCTAGCCTAGGTGACAGAGCTAGACTTCATCTCCAAAAAAAAAAAAAAAAACGAGGAAATTCTTTGTTTTTATTGCTTATATATCTTTCTGTTAATTAGACTACCCCTCATTACCTTCACCCTGCCCCTCAAAACTTAATTAAGTTCTAGAATTAGTCACAGGCACTATAGTGTGTATCTTTATATAATTGTTGGAATAACATTTTCTTTAGTTGATTAATCTTGATTTTGGTACTAACTTTTTATCTAGTTCCTCATTTTGCCTTGCCGAATCAATTGATCCTTAATGATCTCTTCTAGTTCTTACTTAGATGTAGTGATTCCTATCTTATAAGAGTCTCTTGATGTCTTTTTTTTTTTTGAGACAGGGTCTCACTTCATTGCCCAGGCTGGACTGCAGTGGCACAATCAGGGCTCACTGAAGCCCCAGCTTCCCAGCCTCAGGTGATTCTCTCACCTCAGGCTCCCAAGTAGCTGGGACCACAGGCCACCATGCCTGGCTAATTTTTTGTATTTTTTGTAGAGATGGGGTTTTGCCATGTTGCCCAGGTTGGGATGTCTTTATTTTTTATAAACGTTTCTTAAATTAATGTGGTTGGAGGTAAACTTTGATGGCTGTTCCTCTCACTGCTTGGAGCCTTAGGCAGTGGGATTTTGATCCATCATATATCAAAAATGGCTTATCTTCACTCAGGGCACCATGAGGATGGGCTGGCTGTCCGTTAGTGCCTTCTGATTTTTGCGGAGTCAAACAATTACTAAACGGGTGGTGATTCTAGATTAAGAAAATATACCTGTGATTAAAAAAATAAAAGAAGCAGCCTAGTTTCAAAACATGAGCATATAGTAATTAGATAGCTCTCATCTAGCGCTATGAAAGAAAGCCAGTTGGTTCTGGGAGTTACTGAAACATTATACTATAAAGTCATTCATGTTCAAATTTTAAATGGTTTACTTGGTTTTCTAGAGTGGTTGCTCACACAAGTCAGGGCAGTTTTAAAAATACACTTTTTGGTTGGGTGCGGTGGCTCACACCTGTAATACCAGCACTTTAGGAAGCTGACGTGGATGGATCACCTGAGGTCAGGAGTTCAAGACCAGCCTGGCCAACATGGTGAAACCCTGTCTCTACTAAAAATACAAAAATTAGCTGGGCATAGTGGTGCGCACCTGTAGTCCCAGCTACTTGGGAAGCTGAGGCAAGAGAATCGCTTGAACCTGGGAGGTGGAGATTGCAGTAAGCCAAGATTGTGCCACTGCACTCCAACCTGGGTGATAGAGTGAGATACTCCATCTCAAAAAAAAAAAAAAATTATACATATAACTTTTCTTTGCAGTATGAAGATAGATAATTCTTCAAGTTAAAGATGGACTTTTCTCACCAGAAATGGCTTTATGGAATCAATTTGCAAAAATGTAAGAGGTGGCAAAGGAAAGAATAAAATAATATTTTCATTTTCTTCTGTCATTCTTAGATCGTTTGGTAGATTGTAAACTCCATGAAAGCAGGATACCTTCTTTTCCCCTAAGACCTGGCCCAGAAGAGATACCAAAAAAATATTTGCTTATATACTAACCTAGTCTCTGGGTGTGGGAGCCATAGAGGGTTCAGGGTGGGGCGGGGGGAAAGGTGGGGGAAGCCCTGATTGACAAAACACGGCGGTTTCCAAAAGGAATTCTTGGCATGTGTACTCAAGGAGACATGTATGGAACGTTCACTGTGGTATTGTTTTTAATTGTAAAACCTGGAATCAATGCCTATTATAAGAATGACTGCCAAAACCAATCTATTTATGTGAGGAATAGATATATAAAAGCTTACTGGTATTTAAAAATCTTTTATTGTTAATATTTTATTTACAATCTTACTTGATATTTATCATTGACTTAAATTGCACATACCACTCAGGTATGGTTAAAAACTCATTTCTGCTTCATGTTGAAATATTCTCAATTGTTTTGGCTAAAGTATACTGTCCTATATGCTGTGTTTACTTCCATGATGGTATATTTAAATACAAGGGGTACAAAATAAAAATCCAAGTATTGAAAGTCTGGTATACTTCACTGTTTTTGTAATGAGATTTAATACTCATGCTTATACCAGAATCTCACAAATGGTATGCAACTGTAATAACTTGTGTTGGCCAGAATATGAAACCTATTCTTTAGATTAAGATTCTTGAAATTGCTTCATCAATAATATACAGTTCATGAATATTCAGTAGTTTGTCTGAAAATAGTAAACAAATGAGTTAAACCATTTCATAAATTACAAGAAATAGGTCTTCAGGTTGTCAGACTTTTCTGTCTGTTGCAAATCTCAACTTTTGGCTATAAAAACAAGGTATCAAAACAAACAGGAAGTTACTTCTATGTGTTCAAATATAGCACAACTACCACTTGAAACTCAATGCCTTTTCTCCTTCATTATAATATCTTCAGACTGCTTTTCTCTATATAGATTCTCATGGAAAGTATTTCTTTTCTTTTCTTTTTTTTTGAGATGGAGTTTTGCTCTTGTTGCCCAGGCTGGAGTGCAATGGCATGATCTCGGCTCACCGCAACCTCCACCTTCCAGGTTCAAGCTATTCTCCTGCCTCAGCCTCCTGAGTAGCTGGGACAGGCATGCACCACCACTCCCAGCTAATTTTTGTATTTTTAGTAGAGACGGGGTTTCTCCACGTTGGTCAGGCTGGTCTCGAACTTCCAGCCTCAGGTGATCTGCCCATCTCGGCCTCCCAAAGTGCTGGGATTATAGGTGTGAGCCATTGCGCCTGGCCTGATTCTAATGGAAAGTATTTCATATCTATAATTTTTTTTTTGTTTGTTTGAGATGGAGTCTGACTTTGTTGCCTAGACTGGAGTGCAGTGGTGCAATCTCGGCTCACTGCAACCTCCGCCTCCCGGGTTCAGGCTATTCTCCTGCCTCAACCTCCTGAGTAGCTGGGATTACAGGTGCCCACCACCATACCCAGCTAATTTTTGTGTTTTTTCGTAGAGATGGGGTTTGATCATATTAGCCAGGCTGGACTCCTGACCTCAGATGATCCACCTGCCTTGGCCTCCCAAAGAGCTGGAATATGATTTTGTTATTTTGAGTAGTTTTGTCTTTGTGGTTGGTTGCCTTGTTTTGTATAGTCAATAAATATGATTAAATATCATTCTAAAAGCAATGAAATACAACATTCCTAATATTTTGATGCATATTTTATCCCTTGCATGGTAAATATAACCTAGGAATGTTATAGACTAGACTACCACTCCATCAAATAGTGAAGTTGTTGGAATGTTTGCTTTCTTGAATGTTGTGGTCACTCTGGCCTTCACAACTCTTATTGTAAGTTATTCAGACTCTTTATGTTGGGAAGAATGAGTTAAGTTGTATGTATGAAAAGCAAAACTTTAAAACTATTGAAAAGCAAGAGTGTGATATTGGAGTAGACATAAGTACAAAAAGGGAAAGTTGATACATTTGTGTACACTAAAATTCAAATTTATGTTTGCATGCCATATTACTGTTAAATGACTCCATATAAATTAAGAAAATCATCAAAGGATGTGAACAGGCAAATCACAGATGAGGATCCCTGAGTAGTCATTCAGATGAAAAAATGCTCACTCTTACGAGTAATGAAAGAGTTGTACATTAAAACAACACTGAGATACCATTTCACTGTCATCAGATAGACAACAATGAAATAAAATAAAACAACTTGACATGTCTGCATGTTGCTGACTTTATAGCACTGGGCTCTTGTATACTTTGCTGGTGGCAGTGAAATTTATGCCTTTACTTTGGAGAGTGGTTTGGCAACATTTAGTTGATTTGAAGTTGCTTATATACTAACCCAGTCTCTGGGTGTTATATTCTAGAGGAATTTTTGGCATGTGTACTCAAGGAGACATGTACAGAATGTTCATTGCAGTATTGTTTTTAATTGTAAAAACCCACAATCAATGTCTATTAGAAGAATGGATAAATTGTAGCATATTTGCAGTACATGGTGTTAAAATGAATTAATGTTAAGTATGTATTAACTTAAATACATCTCCAGGAAGTGATCATGGTGCAGTACAAAGGCTAGGATCACAAAGTTAGGTACTAGTCAAATTAGAATATTTTGCATTTTTCAACTTTAAATTAGTTGTACTTTTTTTGTATTAATATTTCTACATTTGGCATAGTTAAAACCAGAATTCACACAAAAGGCTCGAACAGCCAAAAACAGATGTTAGGGAGTACATGGTTCACACATGAAGATTTCATTTTTTTGAAACTGGTTTATACCAGAATTAAGTTACTACTTTAAAGTTATCAGAATATATTTTAGGAAATGTACAAAGGCCTAGTTACTCTGAACCAGTTGACAAACCTTGTAGGAAGTTGTACAGTTCTTGACAGTTTTTTGTTTGAAGGAAAAAGATTTGATATTATGGTTTGGCACTACTCAGAAAGGGGTTTGCAGGGTTTGATGTCCATTGTGTGGCTAATTGCATCTGTTACTAATTCATAATAGGGTCACAACATCTGGAAGGATGGCTACAAAAGACGGTATAAGACTGGGCATGGTGGCGCACACCTGTAATCCCAGCACATTGGGAGGCCGAGGTGGGTGGATCACTTGAGGTCAAGAGTTTGAAACCAGCTTGGCCAACATGGCGAGACCCTGTGTCTACTAAAAATACAAAAATTTGCTGGGTGTGGTGGCAGGCGCCTGTAATCCCAGCTACTCGGGAGGCTGAGGCAGGAGAATCGCTTGAACCTGGAAGGCGGAGGTTGAAGTGAGCCGAGATCATATCACAGCACTCCAGCCTGGGCGACAGAGTGAGACCCTATCTGGAAAAGAAAAAAAAGCTTCATTAAGGTTTATATTCTGAGGACCCTTCTAGCTTTCCTCTTCAGGTTAATTTTTAATCTGAATTCTAACATCCATATAGATCAAGCAGAAAATAATTACCTACAGCAGCTGCTATAGGTAATGCCTGGACCTGCCAGCAGTTCCAGGAGAGCACGCAGGTAGGTCACCTCAAAGTTGTGACCCTCAATACTACCGCTTAATTTTTTTTTTTTTTTTTAAATGGAGTGTGGCTCTTGTTGCCCTGGCTGGAGTGCAATGGTGCGATCTCGGCTCACTGCAACCTTTGCCTCCCGGGTTCAAGTGATTTTCCTGCCTCAGCCTCCGGAGTAGCTGGGATTACAGGTGTCCGCCACCACGCCCAGCTAATTTTTGTATTTTAGTAGAGACGGGGTTTCATCATGTTGGCCACGCTGGTCTTGAACTCCACACCTCAGGTGATCCGCTCACCTCAGCCTGCCAAAGTGTTGGGATTACAGGCGTGAGCCACCGCCCCCAGCCCACTATCGCTTAATGTAAAGCCCTGTAAATGCATGTTTGCAATGCAGACTCAAAGAAAATTATAACTTCCTTAAATATGTATAGAGGATGTGTGAGAGCTGGAAAGATGTCTAGTCCAAGGTGGATAAAAAACAAAATGGTGGATTACCCCAACTTGGAGGTGCCAGCCGTCCAATTACAGCTGTCACACCGTTTCTGGGAATTTCTCCTGATTCTTAGAAAGCCAGAGCTGCCCGCCGCACCTCCACAGGGCCTGGCAGGTCCCAGGATGCTTCGGGGCAACCCTACGCACGCGCGCTCTGGTGTAGTTCCCTGAAGTACTCGCGCGCAGAGAATCCTGGAATCTTCGCTTGTGGAGCTGTGGAGGCAACGGAGTTTTTCCGCGCTTTTTCTTTCAGCCTCAGATTAAGTATCATTTGTTATTATTATTTTCTCTACTGAGCGCGGAAAGCTGACTGAAAATTCCAGAGTGAAATTTCTGTGGGGCTGTTTCTCTAAAACTTGGCCCTCACGCAGCTTGTACAGCCATTAGATAGGCGCTTACTCCCAGCTGGTGGAAGATTCGAATTAGCTGCGCCTCTCTTGCCTGAGCGAGGGCTCAGCTTTAAAGCTTCCCAGCTCCCCTGCTTCGCCTCTGCCCCCTACTCTGCCGGACGTAAAATAGGCCTCTTAACTGTGGCTGCCAGGTGACACACCTGAGGAAACTCACTGAGCGGGGCTACTGGGATAAAGGTGTCCTAGTGTTCCTTTCTGTCGACCCGGAGGGCCAAGGCAACTTTTTTTTTTTTTTTTCTCTCTGAGGTGGAGTCTCGCTCTGTCGCCGGCTGGAGTGCAATGGCGCGATCTCGGCTCACTGCAACCTCCGCCTCCCGGGTTCAAACGATTCTCCTGCCTTAGCCTCCTAAATAGTTGGGACTACAGGCGCACGCCACCACGCCAGGCTAATTTTTTGTATTTTTGGTAGAGACGGGGTTTCACCATGTTAGTCAGGCTGGTGTTGAACTCCTGACCTCGTGATCCGTCTGCCTCGGCCTCCCAAAGTGCTGGGATTATACAGGGGTGAGCCACTGCGCCCGGCCTATATATTGGTTTTGAGACAGATTCTTGCTCTGTCGCCCAGGCTGGAGTGCAGTGGCGCGATCTCGGTTCACTGCGACCTCTGTCTCCCGGATTCAAGTGATTCTCCTGCCTTAGCCTCCCTAGTAGCTGCGACTACAGGCTTGAGCCACCACGCCTGGCTAATTTTTGTATTTTTAATAGAGACTGGGTTTCCCCATGTTGGCCAGGCTGGTCTCGAACTCCTGACCTGCCTGCCTTGGCCTCCCAAAGTGCTGGGATTACAGGCGTGAGCCACCGCCCATGGCCCACGTATATATTATTTTTGACTTTAGCAAGATCTGTAACCACCTTTATCTTTATCCTTAAAGTGTTTTTAGAAAACCGGACAAACAAGGAGCACAATTAATATTATTGAGTAACTGAAATCAATATATCAATTATACTAAATACAAGGAATATAATAAAATGTGCAGTATTTTATAATAAAAACATGCATGTTATATTTATTTTTTACTTGTTATTTATTTTATTTTTATTGCAATTTAACTTGGCCTTTTTATTTACCCCTTATTAGGACACTCTTCAGCTTCTGGAGACCTCACTATCCTATTATGTCTTTGTGTGAAGACATGCTGCTTTGTAATTATCGAAAGTGTCGCATCAAACTCTCTGGCTATGCATGGGTCACTGCCTGCTCTCACATCTTCTGTGATCAGCATGGCAGTGGTGAGTTTAGTCGCTCACCAGCTATCTGTCCTGCCTGCAACAGTACCCTTTCTGGAAAGCTAGATATTGTCCGCACAGAACTCAGTCCATCAGAGGAATATAAAGCTATGGTATTGGCAGGACTGCGACCAGAGATCGTGTTGGACATTAGCTCCCGAGCACTGGCCTTCTGGACATATCAGGTTAGTGCTTAGTCTAGTTTCTTTTGAACATATAATTTCAGGCATTTGTGGGAGCTTCTAGTGTCTTTTCTTCATTATTTTATATTTATTTTTTATGAGTATATGAGAAACTGTCTTATTAGCTTGTTTTGTTTTCAATAATGTTTATTGTTGAAAATCAAAAGGAAGAAAATTAAAGCACTCATAATTCCATCACTCAGATATAACCATTGTTGATATTTTGGGTACACACACACGTGCACACACACACACACTCTGTCTTCTGTATAAAAGTAAGATAATAACACACACACTGTTTTATTGTTAGAGTTGACAATATATTATATCTGGTATGTATTTTTCTTTCTTTTGAGATGGGGTTTTCTTGTGTTGCCCAGGCTAGTCTCTAACTCCTGGGTTCAAGCCATTCTTCTGCCTCAGGCTCCTGAGTAGCCTATGCTCCACTGGGTGTGAATATCTTGTTAAATATTTTTTAGTTAACTATTCTATAATCATATTTTAATGGTTATATTGTTTTTAGCATAATTTATTTCCAAGTTATTAAAATACTATGATAAGCATTCTTATCAAATAACACATCCTTAACTTCTTCCCTTTATGATTTCTACTTTTAGTATTTCCTTTGAAAGACCTCCCTGTGGATAACTTTAAGCATGTCCTTGAATGTATTGTTATATCTTACATATACTCTTATACTTATTAAGGATGTTTGTCATCTGTCAAGTAACTTTTTATTATATTTTTCTGGGTAAGTTGTTTCTCTTACATGCTCCTGTAGTTTTCAACTCCTTTGGTTAAATACCAAATAGTGTTTTTGCTGGCTTATGTGGTAAGAGTATGTTTATTTTTGTAAGCAACTGCCAAATTGTCTTCCAAAGTGGCTGTACCGTTTTATATTGCCAGCAGCAATGAGTGAGAACCTGTTGCTCCACATCTTTGCCAGAAGTTGGTATTGTCAATGTTCTGGATCTTGGCTAGTTTAATAGGTGTATAGTGGTATCTCATTTTAATTTCCATGTCTCTGATGACATACGATGTGGAGCATCTTTTCATATGCTTTTTTGCCTTTTTTTTTGGTGAGGTGTATATGAAGTTTTTGATCTATTTTTAAATTTTTTTAATTGTTGAGTTTTAAGTGTTCTTTGTATCCTTACTGCGTTTGAAGTATTCTTTGATCCTTTCTCAGAGCTATCTTTTGCAAATATACTCTCCTGATCCGTGGCTTGTCATTTCATTCTCTTACAGGGTCTTTCACAGAGCAGAGATTTTTAACTTTAATGAAGTCCTGCTTATCAATTTTCTCTTTCATGGATTATACCTTTGGTATATTTTAAAAGTCACTGCCAAATCCAAGATCATCTAGATTTTATCCTATGTTATCTTCTGGGAGTTTTATAGTTTTGCATTTTACATTTAAGTCTGTAAACCATTTTGAGTTTATTTTTGCGAAAAGCGTAAGATCTGTCTAGATTCATTGGGTCCTCAGTTTTTTTCTGGCTATTCACCAGAGGCTGTTAGTTACTTGCCTCTTGGGCCTTCCTGACATGGCTGCTTGCTTCCTCAAAGCCAGCAAGGGGGTGTGTCTCGTAGTAAGACAGACCTTATAGTCTTAGGTAATATACTTACGAAGTGACAACCTGTCACATTTTATGTAGTATTGTAGTCACAGGTCCTGCCCAGAGACAATGATAATTTGGGGTTGTCTTAGAGTCTGTTCTTCATGCTCTGGATGACTTGAAAAATGGGATTATATTTCTTAAAAACCTTTGGAAAACATGTCACTTGTTAAAGTAAGACAAATACTCAGTTCTTTTGGTGGTATAAAGTTAGTGGTTTGAGAGTATTCTTCCAGACTTTTTTTCTGTGCATTTAATAACATAACTTATTGTTTTCTGTGCCTCATTGTGTATCCTGATTGCTTCTTAAACTGGGTTCTAAATGTTAAAATAACATCCCTATATAAGCATCTTTCTTTTCCTTTTGTGTTTGTATAATATTTTACAATGTATAACTTTGTACCCCATACCTTAAAAATCTTTTTTCTTTTGGAACCAGGTACATCAGGAACGTCTTTATCAAGAATACAATTTCAGCAAGGCTGAGGGCCATCTGAAACAGATGGAGAAGATATATACTCAGCAAATACAAAGCAAGGATGTAGAATTGACCTCTATGAAAGGGGAGGTCACCTCCATGAAGAAAGTACTAGAAGAATACAAGAAAAAGTTCAGTGACATCTCTGAGAAACTTATGGAGCGCAATCGTCAGTATCAAAAGCTCCAAGGCCTCTATGATAGCCTTAGGTTACGAAACATCACTATTGCTAACCATGAAGGCACCCTTGAACCATCCATGATTGCACAGTCTGGTGTTCTTGGCTTCCCCTTAGGTAAGAAAGGACATGTGATATCCAGTGTCTATTCTTTAAATCAATGATTTTTTATACTGCTCTGCCCACTTCCAAGCATTCAGTGGAGATGATAAGGGTCTTGAGTTGTGGTAGGCTATGAATTCTTCACCCATGTTTCAACCTGTACATCATTGCTTTTATCTATTGTATTTGCTTACATTTAAATTAAAGCTTTAATTTGAGCAGAGTTAATCTCTGCAAAATGAAAGTTTGCAAATTGCTGCATTAAATTAAAAGCTACGTAGTTGTAGTGATAATAATATTAACTGTCATTTATTGATTCCTAAGTGCTAGGCACTGTTTTAAGTGTTTTATATAAATTCATATAATTTACAAAACTTTATGAAGTAAGTATTATTATCCTTTTATACAGATGAGAAAGCTGAGGCACAGAAAGTTAAGTAATTTGGTCAATATCACTAACCTGTTTTCAGAGCCTATACTCTTAACCATTTGCTATCCTCCAAGAAGGCCATGTTTCGATTTTTTTCACCTGCCAATACTGATTGTACAGTTCTTAAGTTGTCAGTTTGGTTGTTTTGTTCTTTTGTTTAATCATTTTTCCATTTATCGAATATTTATCTAATATGTTTTATGTACCAGGTTGTTAGGTATGATCCTAACTAATGAAGATATAAAGATTATCCAAATAGGATTCTTTCTTTCTGGAAATCACAATCTAGCATGATTCCATCTCTTGTCTGCTTGTTAGGTGCCTTGCAGATGAAATTAATCTCATATCTTCCTGCGCTCTCTCCTTTATACTACTCTTTATGCAACAAAATCCAATAGGTTTTTGCTATACTATTAATGGAAATTGTTTTTGGCATACAAAAAAGTGAAGCTTCTTGTGCTGGACTATCCTAATACTCATTTTTGGATATTTACTATAGGCTGAGGAAGAAGATTTAATAGGGGAGGAGATGATGTCTTAGAAAAATTGTGAGGTGGTCAGGTGCAGCCCAGCGCTTTGGGAGGTTGAGGTGGTAGAATCACTTGAGCCCAGGAGTTTGAGACCAGCCTGGGCAATATAGTGAGACCCTGTCTCTACAAAAAAAAGGTGGGGAGCAGGTATGAGATGATGAGATGAGGAATATCAGATATAAGAATAAAAACCTAAATATCTGCTTAACTTTCAGTTTTACTTACATAATGTAATTTAGTCAGAGTTACTGTAAATGGCATTATAGATATTTTTTTCTTGTCACTGTCCACTTGTCTTATTTTTTTCATATTCACCAGTTCTTTCCCATTCCTTTTTTTGTACACAGTTAACCTCTTTATCTCCTGCTACCACTGTTAGCTTGAAGGATATATAGTCAGCATTTTCCTTTAGTTATTTGATCCTTTAAAACCTGTAAAAGCCAAGGAAGGGTTCAGTGGAAGTAGTTAAATGTTCATTTAATCAGATCTGTTATCTGCTTTGTCTTAATCCTATGCTAATTGATATTGGGTCATGGTATATGCCAATATTTCATCGTTATATTTTTTCTAGAACGTTTATTGCAATGTTTTTTAAAAAGATTATTCTTAACCTGGGGCAAAAGATTTTATATGTCTGTTTTTTTCTAAGACAAATACTGGAGGAAAAAAAATATATTCATATATATATATATTTGATGATTCCTCTGAAGTAGATTATGTAGATAACAAATGAATAAAATTATGTTTTTCCCTTTTTTTCCCTACTAGGTAACAACTCCAGGTTTCCTTTGGATAATACACCTGTTCGAAATCGGGGCGATGGAGATGGAGATTTTCAGTTCAAACCATTTTTTGTGGGTTCTCCCACAGCACCTGAACCCAGCAACAGCTTTTTTAGTTTTGCCTCTCCAAGTCGTGAATTAGAGCAGCGGCAAGTTTCTAGCAGGGCCTTCAAAGTAAAAAGAATTTGAGCCACGCATGGTGTCACACACCTGTGATCCCAGCTACTTAGGAGGTTGAGGCTGAGAGGATCCCTTGAGCCCAGGAGTCTGAGGCTATAGTGATCTAAGATCATGCCACTGCACTCCAGCTTGGGCAACAGAGTGAGACCCTGTTTCTAAAAAAATAAAGATAATTTAGCTAACTTTGCAGAATGTTTCTATGTTCCTCTTTAGTGATTTCATTTAGCAAATCTTTTTCCTAGTTAGGACTCCTCAGCTTCCCTGTGCTTTTAAATCTCTGAAGTTGTCTTCACATTATCGATATAACACTCATTGGCAGTGGGGAGTGGTTTAGAGTCTGGTTTCTTTGTTTCTATTATTTAAAGCATAAGCATTTTATTAATCTAAATTCCATTGTGAACTGCTGAATTTTCATCCCTGGTGGGAAGGTCACAATAGTATTTGTTTCAATAGATAACTGTTTCTCCCTGGGCTGTTTCTGACTGAGCTGTGTTGTTTATGCCTTAAGTACCTGTGTTATATGCTACATGTCGCTTTGAATTCTGGTATTTATGCATATCTGTATATGTAAGTATGTTAATGTACACTGATATTTTGCTGTATTTGTCAGTATGTTTATGTGAAAATTTTGGTCTTGGAAAATGGTGGGTGATGTGTGGCTTGTTATTTGGGTATGTGTATTTATTTGTATATATTTATGTATTTACCTTCATGTTAACTTGTTTGGAGGTGTGCTTATGTCAGTGAACGAGAGTACAATTTGATGCATGTATGTTCAGTCCCTATTTGTATTTAAAATAACTCACATTGATAGTTATTTTTTAAAGTTAATTTTTTTGGTGTTTACAGTTGGCCCTCTGTATCCACAGGTTCTGCTTCTGCAGATTCAGCCAACCATATATCAAAAATATTTGAGAAAAAATTAATAATATAACAATAAAAAATACAAATTAAAAATACTGTATAATTATTTGGATAGCATTTACATTGTAGGTATTATAAATCATTTAGAGGTGATTTGAAGTATTTGGGAGAATCTGTAGGTTATATGCAAATACCATGCCATTTTATAAAAGTGACATGAGCATCCAAGGATTTTGGTATCCATGAGGGTTCCTGGAACCAATCCCCCAAAGATACTAAAGGAAGACTGTATTTTAAAATAAAGCTACTTCTTTACCTTTTTGTCAGCTGTTGCCTTGGGTTTACTTATTTAGGAATGCACTTCTGCAGAAAGTTTACCAATGTGTTATCTCAAGAGACTGTATTAAAATAATTTACAAGATTTATTCATTGTTGTCCTTTAGTGAGCATTTCTGACTATTATTATGGAAATTAAATTCTGTTTAATTACGCATATATTTATTTAAAATGTACAGCCATGATAGAAATTTTGAAGGACTTCTCAGTAACTTTATATCTTACTAGAGGAAAGACTTGAAAGCATACTGGCTGGGGAGGCAGAAGATCTGGATTCTGGTTTCTACTTAGTTTAAACTTTCTTGGACTTTGTATCTGTAGAATGAAGGATTGAATTAAGTTATCCTTACAGCCTTTTCTAACTCTTAAATTTTAGGATTGATTCTTAATGGTTTAGGATTTGTTAACAGTGGAATTACCCTAAATGCCAAATCCCATTGTTTTTTAGGTAATAAAAATTATACTGAAATCATTTGAAGATAGTTTATGTTTAGTCATTGTAGAAAGGCAATTAAATACCCCTGCTTTACATGATTGAAAAGCAAGTAGTGTTTCCTTCAATAGGAATATAGAGTATAAAATCTCTTAAAAATTATTCTTAGTGTGCACCAAAGTTATTTATTACTGTTTTTTTGAGATGGAGTCTTGCTGTGTCGCCCAGGCTGGAGTGCAGTGGCAGCATCTTGGCCCACTGCAACCTCCACCTCCTGGGTTCAAGTGACTCTGCCTTGGCCTCCCAAATAGCTGGAATTGCAGGTGCACGCCACCACACCTGGCTAATTTTTGTATCTTTAGTAGAGACAGGGTTTCACCACATTGGCCAGCCTGGTCTTGAACTCCTGACCTCAAGTGATCCGCCCGCCTTGGCCTCCCAAAGTGCTGGGATTACAGGTGTGAGCCGCTGAGCCCAGCCGCATGTGCACCAAAGTTAAAATGTCTGAGAAAGAGGATGAAAAATTTTACAGTTTTAGGGCTGGGTGTGGTGGCTCACGCCTGTAATCCTAGCTCTTCGGGAGGCCGAGGCTGGTGGATCACTTGATCAGGAGATCGAGACCATCCTGGCTAACACGGTGAAACCCCATCTCTACTAAAAATACACACAAACAATTAGCCAGGCGTGGTGGCATGCGCCTGTAGTCCCACTGTAGTCCCAGCTACTCTGGAGGCTGAGGCAGGAGAATCGCTTGAACTCGGAGGCAGAGGTTGCAGTGAACTGAGATCGTGTCATTGCCCTCCAGCGTGGGCTACACAGTGAGACTGTTTTCTCACTGTGTCTCAAAAAAAAAGTTTTAAAACATCCGGATCTCCCTATTTTATAGCTAATGACATAGATTTTATAGGTTACAATACAAACTATTTCCTTTATGTTGGAAAATGATTTGAGGAAATGATTTTATGTATATTCATGATTTCTGCCTTGAACGTTTTGCTTCTTTGTTAGGTTCACAGAATCAACTTGAAGCTGTAATTAAAACTAAAAAAGTAAAGCAAAACTGTCAGGAATATTACATGACACTTTAAAAGATTTATTCACAAGTTTAATATATTCACAAGGTACAAACTTGAAAGTTACAAAAAAGGCATAGAGTGAAAAGTCTATCCCTAGTCACTCATTTTTGCTCCAGCCGCTCACTTCTCTTTGTAAGCAATAGTGTTGCCAGTGTCTTGTGTCCTTCCAGAGACTATGTAGAAGCAAATAATTTTTTATTTAAAAATTATGTTTATATTTGAATAGGTGATACATATAGATGGCAAGAAAATTCAAAAGCGCAGGCAGTGAAAATTTTCTTCGCTTACCCACAGCTCCCCAGTTTCTGTTTCCCTCTGCAGACATTGTTTCTTATATATCCTTCTGGATGTTGCCTATAAATATGGAGGCATTATTAGTGTACAGCATGGTGGTTTTTATGAGCCATCCCAAGTGTAGTATTTATTAGGATAGTGCATTAAAATGATAAAATTAATCATACATAGAAAGTTATTGCAAAGTTTGGAAAAGATTGAGTCAAGTAGCCATTGTACTACATGGCTTTAAAAATTTCAAACAACACAGGTGTGCACTTCTTAAACTCTCTTCTTCATGGAATATTATAATCTTAGTATAAATAAGTAGGAAGATATGAAACAAGAATATAGAAATTAAGCTGAGGACATTTTGTTTCCAGGATCTGGGAAAGAAACAAGTTTATGAACTCAGAAGTGATTGCAGAGCATCTATGTGCTGCAGGAAATAGTTAAGTTGGTTTGAAGCAAAGCCCTTCGTGGGCAGAAAAGCCTCCAGAGCGCCAGGTGTCGCTGTGGTTCCGCGATGAGAGAGGGCGTGCGTCTCTGTGGTTATAAAGTTGGGGGTGGAGTGGCCGGGAGATGATGGCTGATGAAGAGGAAGAAGTCAAGCCGATCTTGCAGAAATTGCAGGTGGGGCCTTAGATTAAAATCTGTATGTGTTTTTGTTACTCCGAATGAAGCAGGGAGTCCAGTTTATGTAGTGCCCGCGAATTCCCCGGCACACACGCGAAGCTGCGTGCGTCTGTGCGGTTACTATAACAACCCTCGAGGGTGCAGCCGCAGCCAGCGAGGGAGCCTCCCAGTGTGTTGGAACCTCCTGCTGTCTACCTGACTGCGGTTAGTTTCAGTCCTGTATGGAAGAGGATTTGTTGCTCCTAACTATTCATGTACATTTTTAGAGAGGAGGTTGTTTTCTCGATTGATCCATAACGAATAGCATATACATGTGTATGGCAGATCTGCATGAACTATTATCACATGTTTTGATCCCTACAAAAGCCATTTAACACCTTTCTGCTTTGAATTTGGCAACAATCACACTGATGACCTGCACTGCAAGTGTCCTGGTTACTCCCCTTAGGATTTCAGTTTTGATTTCTTTCAACATGTGTAGTTCCACTTTGGGGTCTGATGCAGAGGGGTCCAGACTCCACGTAGTCGACAGATGACTGTGCTTCTGAGTAAGACTAGGCTTTTGGGCTTGGTAGGGAGGCGTTAACTAATTGCTTGGCTCTTTGCCTTTAAGGCCCCATGATTTTCCTTAAACCTCAGGAACTCAGTTCTTCGTTCTAAGACAGCCTGTAACTTAAATATTAGAACTATGACAGGCTTGTAACTTGCCTAAAGGTGTTTAACGCACAAATTTAAATATTGGTGAAATTTATTTGTTCTTGAGTAGATTAAAATAGTAACTAACACTTTTTAGTGTTCCAACTGATTTGGATTAACTTCATTTTATTCCCTAATTGTGACTGACTGAAATCAGAGAATCAATTCTGGTTCTATATTAGAAACATTATTGGTGTATATACGTTTGTATATGTACAGAAAAGAATCTGAAAAGGTATACAAATCAGTGGTTATCACTGAGGTTGTTTGGGGGAATTTTTTACTTTCTGTTTTTTACATGTATCTGTTTGAATTTTAACAACTTACATGTATTGATTTTGCCATGAGAAAATAAGTTTCTAAAAACGTTCAGTCCAGAGGAAAACAAAACCAAACAATAAAACCAAGCAAGTTCTTGAATGTTTGCTTTAACAACTAAAACCAATCATTAAGCCCCCCTCTAAAACTCTTAATTTGCAGCCATGTTGATTTCAGGACAAAAGGAAATTGGTTGCAATTTTTTATGAGAATTGTCTTTTCCTAGGTTCATTTGTGGTAAATGTCCTAAGCAGCTTGGGAGAGGATACTTTGGTTATGTTGGGGTGGAGTCGGTGCAGGAATGGAATAAAGGAGTGAAGTAGAGAAGAGGAAAAGGATTAGATAATGGTGTTGCTGTTCATGGAGATGGTGGTAAACTTTGATTTCATTGTTATAGACATTTTAGTGTAAAAGGAATGTATAAAAGGATATTTCTCAAAGTGTGTTTTACAGTTTCATTACAATCATCTGGGGTGCCTGTTAAAAATGTAGAATTTTGAGTTCTGCTAAACTGTTAAAATCAGAGTCTCTGCAGGCTGGGTCTTGGATATACTACAATAAAATTTGAAAAGCATTACTGCAGAGGGTGCTAGTCTGTTCTCTTCATTCTGGATAGGATTTTAAATTAAGTATAGCACATATGTATTTGTTAGAACAGGGGTAGTTAGTTAGTTAATTCAATCAAGTATAGTGAATGAGAGCCTATTATGTCCCAAGTCCTGTTCTGGTGCTCAGGTGTAGCTTGAAACAAAACAGAATAAAGTCCTTTCCATCCTGGAGGTTACATTTCAGTGATAGAGGCAGACAATAGACAATTAATGATAGGCCACGTGATTTTAAATAAGTATGAAGAAAAATAAGAGTATGATTTAACAGTAGATGACAGAAGGAAGATATTCATTTGGTTTGAGTAATTAGGGAAAACCTCTCTGGAATTGATATTTGATCTAAGATCTAAATGATGATGAGGAATAAGTTATGCAGAGATCTGGAGAAAGTGTCCAGGCATAAGGAAAAGCATGTGTAAGGGCTTCCGGGTGGGCTGAGCTTGATGGGTTTGAGAAACTGCATGAAGGCCACTCTGGCTTGAGTATCGTAAGAGAGAGAGTGCTGAGAAGTGAAGTTTGTGTCAGGATGGGTGGTGCTGGGTCAGCTCATACAGTCTTCTAGGCCATGATAAGGACTTGGATTTTATTCTGTCTGCAATGGGAAACTATTTGAAGGTTTGTGATACGATGTACATTTTTTATAAGATCACTCCCACTACAGTGAGGAGAATGAGAGAGAACAGAAACAAGATGCCTGGTTAAGAAGTTCTTGCATTCTGGGCAAGTAATGAAGCTGATGTAATCCAGGAGTGGTCATAGTGGGATGGAGTCAGGTGGATGGATTCAGGATATGTTGTGAAGACCATTGATTAGACTCAATGGGAAGTGATTATATATTTCTGCTGCCATCTGTTCAGTTTCAGGAAAGAATAGGGTATCTCTTGTCCAAAATACTTAGGATTAGAAGTTTTTGGGATTTCAGATCTTTTTGCATTTTGGAATATCTGCATATACATAATGAGATACCTTGGGGATGGGACCCAAATCTAAATATGAAACTTGGTGACTTATGCCTGTAGTTCTAGCATTTTGGAAGGCTGAGGTTGGGGGATTGCTTGAAATCAGGAGTTTGAGACCAGCCTGGGTAACCTACGAGGCTGTCTCTTTTTTTTTTTTGAGACTCTGTTGCCAGGCTGGAGTGCAGTGGCGCGATCTTGGCTCACTGCAGCCTCTGCCTCCCAGATTCAAGCGATTCTCCTGCCTTAGCCTCCCAAGTAGGTGGGACTACAGGTGTGCGCCACCATGCCTGGCTGATTTTTGCATTTTTAGTAGAGACTGGGTTTCACCATGTTGACCAGGATGGTTTCGATCTCTTCGTGATCCGTCTGCCTCGGCCTACCAAAGTGCTGGCATTACAGGCGTGAACCACCGTGCCTGGTGACCCTATCTTTTAAAAAAGAAAAAAAAAATTGTTTCATTTACACTTTATACACATAGGCTGAAACTAATTTGATTCAATATTTTTAATAATTTTATGCCTGAAACAATGCTTTGACTGCATTTTGACTGTGTGTCAAGTGTGGAATATTCTACTTGTGGTGTCAGCATTTCAAAAGTTTTGGATTTTGGAGGATTTCAGATTTTTGGATTTGGGATGCTTGACCTGTAGTGGAAAAGCTTTGCCTCATCTGACAGGAAGACTCAGAGGCATTTAAGAGGAAAGAGAATATTTACTTGTAAAAAATCCAAGACACCCGGAAGATGACTTGACAAAAAATTCGAACTAAACAAAACCACAATAAGCATTTAAAATAACAAAATGCTGCAAAAATACCAAAGTTACCAAGTTCAAATTGGTATGTTTGTGGTGGAAAACAATGACTCTCTAACATGTTTATTATATTCACAAAGGTTGTATTGTATTTTCAGATATCAGCATATGAAAAATCAGCAATAAAATGGTTTTAGTTGAGAAGTCCAACTTTAAGGGTAAATTTCAAAGTGTTATTCTTTGAGGACCAGGACCATATAGAATGATCTTACTAACTTTTGGTTTATCTTAAGTTGCAGTGTTTCCCTCCTCATGACTGTGGTATGTGAAGTGTTTAGTCATATTAGAAGCCCTGCTGGGGCAGGGAGAGAAAACAGTCATCACAGTACAGACACTGGCATGGGACAACATGGGACCATGAGAGCTGGCCTGGGGTACTGGCTGCTTTTCCTCATGATTTGTGGCATTTTAGTAAACCTGTCCACTTGCCTATTGTGCCATTCCTAGGTGAGATAAGAGAATTGGTCTTTCTAGACCAAGAGACGGTATGGCTAGCCAATTTCAAGTTTCCCTGTCCAGTGCTCTCTCCGCTTAATGGTTCCATTGTCATACTTTTTAGGAACTAGTGGATCAGCTCTATTCATTTCGAGACTGCTATTTTGAGACACATAGTGTTGAGGATGCTGGGAGGAAGCAACAGGATGTGCGGAAGGAGATGGAGAAGACCCTACAGCAGATGGAAGAAGTAGTGGGTATGAGCCCTAGAGACTGTACAACCCCCATCCTTCAGTGAAATGTGATCGACCTTTACTCCTTCCTCGTAGACTCTTTGGTATCCTATCTGTTACTGCTATAGGGTAGTACAATGTAATATTACTTCTCAGGGCCCCTGTGCAACCTTTCATTCCCTAAGCTACTTTTTCTAAAATTTGATTATAGCAAATGGCATGAAATGAAAGAGCATACTTACTGGAACTATTGCAGTAATTTGACTTTCTGCCTCTAATTTCTTTTACTTTCAAATCCACTTATATAACACGATGGCCATGGTCATCTTCCTAAATCATTACTTCATGCATTTAACCTGATCCTCTTGTCTGCCTTTTGACTCGCTGAGGTCTAAACCCCTTAACCTGGTATTTAAGTGTCCATTGTTTTACTCTGTTTTCTAACCTGATCGCTGACTAATTACTTGTAGAGGAACTTTCTGTTTCATCCAGGTTGAACCATTTATTCTCCCTTGAACATGGCCACATGTACTTTTGATTCTGTGTCTTTGTTTATGTCATTTTCTAATCTGGAGGGTCTTTTCTTTCTCTCTGTCTTTTGTTTTAATGATAGCTATTTGTCCTGACTCCTCTTGACTTGTTAAAGCCCATTCGCTGGGCTAATGCTGTATGCTCTTTTTCGTGGTTTTAATTTTCCATGTTTATGCTTTGTCTTCACCTAGATTGTAAATCCTTCTAGGAAAATTAGCAACCGAGCTGATCCTTGTAGATAGGGGCCCAAAAAACAGATGGCAGAAGCTCTAGAAATAGTGCTTTCTTTGTTGCCGAATTAGCTAATATAGCACTCTGCTTATGGTGAGCTTTCAATAAATGGTTTGTTGATAAATATTTTCCTCAACTCTTTTTATTCCTAAAACTGACATGGAGTTATTTTTTGAGAGAAAGTGCCCTGGTCTTTAACTGTAAGATTGCTTGTTTTTTTCCCACTTTATCTTTTTTTCTTCCTCTTAGGTTCTGTCCAGGGCAAGGCGCAAGTTCTGATGCTAACTGGGAAAGCACTAAATGTGACTCCTGACTATAGCCCTAAGGCTGAGGAGCTTCTGTCAAAGGCTGTGAAGCTGGAGCCCAAGCTGGTGGAAGCCTGGAACCAGCTGGGTGAGGTGTACTGGAAAAAAGGGGATGTTGCAGCTGCCCACACCTGCTTCTCAGGAGCCCTTACCCATGTGAGCTGCCCCCTATCCTTTTGGAAAGCACAGATGGGAAGGATGAATTTCTTTGGTTCTATGAGTTCCTAGGACATGAATACCAGAGTAGAACTGAAATTGAACTAGGACGGAATCAGGAGGGAGGAAAGGTCGGAGAGCAGACCTGAATGAGGAAAATAGAGGCAGGGTCCTGGGAAAGGAAGATGATGATGGGATCAGGTTCAGGGGGAGAAAGGAAGTGAAGAAAAGTTAGCAACTAAGCTGATCCTTGTAGATGGGGGTTGAAGATACAGATGGCAGCAAGAATTTAGATGAAAAAATTAAGCCTGGGTGTGGTAGCTTATACTTGTAATCCTAGCACTTTGAGAGACTGAGGCAGGAGGATCACTGGAGCTCAGGATTTTGAGACCAGCCTAGGCAACATGGTGAGACCTTGTCTCTAAAAAAAAAAAAAATAATAATAATAATAGTAATAATAAAAAAATATATATATATATATATGCCAGATGTGGTGACTCATGCCTGTAATCCCAGCACTTTGGGAGGCCAAGGTGGGCAGATCGTTTGAGGTCACGAGTTTGAGACCAGCCTGGCCAACATGATGAAACGCCACCTCTACCAAATACACAAAAATTACCTGGGCATGGTTGCACGTGCCTGTAATCCCAGTTCCTCAGGAGGCTGAGGCACAGGAATCACTTGAACCCAGGAGGTGGAGGTTGCTGTGAGCCAAGATCGTGCCACTGCACTCCATCCTGGGTGACAGAGTGAGACCCTATCTCAAAAAGAAAAATATGGCCAGGTGCGGTGGCTCACCCCCGCCCGTAATCTCAGCACTTTGGGAGGCTGAGGTGGGCAGATCACTTGGGGTCAGGAGTTCGACACCAGCCTGGCCAACATGGTGAAACCCTGTCTCTACTAAAAATACCAAAATTAGCCAGGCATGGTGGTAAATACCTGTAGTCCCAGCTACTTGGGAAGCTGAGGCAGGAGAATGACTTGAACTCAGGAGGCAAAGGTTGCAGTGAGCTGAGATTGCGCCATTGCACTTCAGCCTGGGCGACAGAGCAAGACTCCACCTCAAACCAAACCAAACCAAAACAAAACAAAAAATTTGAAAAAGTAAAAAATTAGATTTAGAAGATTGAATTCAGAATACATCTGGGAAGGGGAGGTAGAATCGGGAAGATTGAGTATGTGCCTTTTCTATTTGCAGTGCAGGAACAAAGTCTCCTTGCAAAACCTGTCAATGGTGCTTCGCCAGCTGCGGACTGGCACTGAAGATGAACATTCTCACCATGTCATGGACAGTGTCCGACAGGCTAAGCTGGCTGTTCAGATGGATGTCCATGATGGCCGCTCCTGGTGTGAGTGCTCTCAAAAGATATCCAACAGGGTTCTAGAGCAGATGTTTTCAATCAGAGCAACATTTGCAGTCCATCTTTTGAGTCTGCCTCTGAGGTTTAAGCTAGGGCATCTTTGTTTTGAAGACACACGAAAGACATTTTGGTGAACTGCTTTTCTAGGAACTCTTCGATCTTTTGATCCTAGTTTTCACAGAAGCAAGGCAGGGCTTTTGTACGGTCTGTTCAAATTTCAGTTTGGGGTCCTTGTTGCTCTATTGTAGGGGAATTTTGGGTATACTAAGTATCGTGTCATTCTTGATTTGGGTTTCATGTGGGACCTCTCAAATATACTTTCAAGAATGATCAAAATAAGTCATATCTTGAACTTGGACTCTGAGATGATTCGTCACTGTGTTTCTCTTTCAGATATCCTTGGGAATTCATATCTTTCCCTTTACTTCTCTACTGGCCAGAACCCAAAGATCTCCCAGCAAGCCCTCAGTGCCTATGCCCAAGCGGTAAGTACTTATGGTCACCAGGCCAGATGAATAGGCAACAACAGAAGCAAAAGCGTTGTTCAGTCTTCTCTGTGGCCCTTTAGCAAGCATCACGGGCAGTGGCAGTGTTTGCTGGCATCTCATTTGTGTGATTTTGCAAAGATGTGTCTGCAGAGATGACTGACTTCTTATAACGTGAGTGTGAGGAACCACTTGCATTGTGGTGCATTGATGCTGGATAGCTCCTTAACCTGTCTGGGTTTCTTACACACATACATAACCAAATCACAGAGCTGCCTCAACGTGTTCATCTTTCTTAATGAGAAGAAAGTTATTAAAATAATGCTTATTAATATTTTTGTACATTCTTTTTTTTTTTTTTTTTGAGATGGAGTCTTGCTTTGTCGCCCAGGTTGGAGTGCAGTGGCCGGATCTCAGCTCACTGTAAGCTCCGCCTCCCAGGTTCACGCCATTCTCCTGCTTCAGCCTCCTGAGTAGCTGGGACTACAGGCGCCCGCCACCTCGCCCGGCTAGTTTTTTTGTATTTTTTAGTAGAGACGGGGTTTCACCGTGTTAGCCAGAATGGTCTCGATCTCCTGACCTCGTGATCCGCCCGTCTCAGCCCTCCAAAGTGCTGGGATTACAGGCTTGAGCCACCGCGCCTGGCCACATTCATTTTAAAGAACAATGAAAAACTTATACTTCAGTGTAAATTAAGTGCTATTCCCAAATTAACCGTTAGATAATATGGCTCTGGATTTCCCATGGGCTGAAAGAGAAAACAATGTGTAGCTTGTTCTGTGTCATTTCCTAGGAATTAAGTGAATTAGATTATTTAGGTTTTCAAGAAATTTATTTAGGTTTTCAAGCATTTTTGTATTGATAGGCATTTGCATAGGGCTTTCCCTTAGACTTTCAGTGCCTTTTTTCTCATTATTAGAATTGGCTTCTGACTTCACATTGGTCCTCTGAGCACTTTTTATTTAGCTCTCATATTTACCTTTCTTCTTTTGCTTCTCTTGATACAGAGAATTGCTTTTTAACTTATCATTACTTACTCTGCTCCATGTGGTAGAATAAAGAACACAGCTACTGTATGTTCATGTTTGCAATTCAGGGACTGCCCTTTTAAATTTGTTTTTCTCCCACTCCTGCCACTCTCCCTGCAACTCTAACTTTAAACCGCCTTTTTTCAATCATGGAACTTTTAGAGCAATTATATTTTACTCTGATTTCTTAATTTGGTGAATGTTTACATTTTAAAGAGTAGTATGGTGTATTCCTTCAACATTTTATATTTGGCTTCTGCTAAATAGTCGCTTTTTAATCTTTTTTTTTGTTGTTGAGAAGGATTCTCACTCTGCCACCCAGGCTGGAGTGCAGTGGCACGATCTTGGCTCACTGCAACCTCCGTCTCCCAGGTTCAAGTGATTCTTCTGCCTCAGCCTCTTGAGTAGCTGGTATTACAGGCATGTGCCACCATGCCCAGCTAATTTTTGTATTTTTAGTAGAGACAGGGTTTCACCATGTTGGCCAGGATGGTCTCAATCTCTTGACCTCGTGATCTGCCCGCCTCGGCTTTCCGAAGTGCTGGGATTACAGGCGTGAGCCACTGTGCCCGGGCCACATATTTCATTTATATAAAGATTTATTCTATCTTTGTAATGCTACATGGATAAATTACAATAATATTTTAAAGTCTTACACATATAAAAACACTTATATCCCTAAGGTTTTAGGGACTAAGATACCCACACTTGTTATACAATAACTGCTTCTGTGGTATAGATTACATTTTGGCAAGGAAGAAACTTCCATTTCTCTAGGAATAGGAGGTGTAGGACATGTTGGGCATGTCAGTCCTTAACATTGAGACAGGATCCCCTGATAATCTTTTTATCCCATTATAGGAGAAGGTTGACAGAAAAGCTTCTAGCAATCCTGACCTTCATTTGAACAGGGCGACGGTAAGACCTTTGGGGTATAGTCATCTGAGGGTCAAATAAATAAGACACCTAGGTCTTAGCTTGTGAGGATAATGGAGTGTGCATAGGGACACAGACTGGGTACAGACTGCGAGAGGAAAGCCGTGCTGTTCTATAAACAGCTAGCTCGGTTTGGCTTCAGTATCTGGTGTAGTCACTGGAGGGAAAGGAGAAGGGGCTAAGGAGGTAGAAGAATATGTAGACAATGGGGGCATCTTTCAGAAGACTTCTGAAATGTTAAGTAAATATAAAGGTCAAGTGACCCAAGATATACAACTTAACTATTTTAGAGTTTGGAAATTAGCTTCTTTAAAATGATTCCATCTTTGGGATTGTGATCATCTTGGCTAGGAAGAAGGATATAAGGTGTTACCAGCTCTTGAGGCTGTTTATTATAGCACAGGAAAATAACCAGGAAGGAAAACAGTTTATTTCTCTAGATTCCTAGTCCGTGGTGCCATTATTCCCTCGGGATAGTTTGTTTGGATATACTTATAATTGGGATATACTTCTTGTACAGTTGCATAAATACGAAGAGAGCTATGGGGAGGCCCTGGAGGGCTTCTCTCGGGCTGCTGCCCTGGACCCTGCCTGGCCAGAGCCCCGGCAACGAGAGCAACAACTTCTGGAATTCCTGGATAGATTAACCAGCCTCCTTGAGAGTAAGGTAAACATGTCTAAAGGGCTGAATTCTACTTTTTTTTTTTTTTTTTTTTTTTGCTGTGGGTCAATAAAATAAGAATAAATAGGTTTAGGAGGTCGTGACCCTGTAGAAGTGGGTGGGAGGGAAGGATTAGAGTCTCAAGGAAGGCGACTAGTTTCCAGCTTCTTACCTATTTCCTCTTCTTTGTAGGGAAAGGTGAAGACCAAAAAGCTGCAGAGCATGCTGGGAAGCTTGCGCCCAGCCCATCTAGGCCCTTGCAGTGATGGGCACTACCAGTCAGCCTCTGGGCAGAAAGTGACCCTGGAGCTCAAGCCACTGAGTACGCTTCAGCCTGGGGTGAACAGTGGTGCCGTCATCCTGGGAAAGGTGGTGTTTAGCCTTACCACAGAAGAGAAAGTCCCCTTGTGAGTTTCTCTTGGATTTCCCCCTTTTTACCCTTTTGAACTAATTGCTGTCACTTCCTGTTCTTTCCCTGGCAGTTGAGGAGATTGTCAGTGGTCACAGATTTGTGACTTCTGATTTCCTTCTGTGACTGTCCCATGGGCAGATATTGCCTAGGTGATGTTTAACAATCTTTTGATCAGAGGCTTTTGTAGATTCTGTCACTGCCCGTTTTTTATCCCTGAGTTTGGTGCTATGTGGGTTCCTATATCCATAGTTGAAATTTGGCAGGACTTTTTTTTTATAAGACAGAAACCTCAAAATTCTTCTGTCCCTTTGCATTTTCATGATCATAGAAGTTGAAGGAGGACAAATTCTTAGTCCTGTTTGTACTTAGGTGTACTTAGGCAGTTCTGAAAAGTGAGCTTTGAGTTATAATTTAAAGTCTGGTTGGGAGATTGTCTTAGATGTCATTCAACAAATATTTGTTGAGTGTGTAGTATATGTGTCATAGGGAGTGAGAAAAAAGAAATGTCAGGCCGGGCGCGGTGGCTCAAGCCTGTAATCCCAGCACTTTGGGAGGCCGAGACGGGCGGATCACGAGGTCAGGAGATCGAGACCATTCTGGCTAACACGGTGAAACCCCGTCTCTACTAAAAAATACAAAAAACTAGCCGGGCGAGGTGGCGGGCGCCTATAGTCCCAGCTACTCAGGAGGCTGAGGCCAGAGAATGGTGTGAACCCAGGAGGCGGAGCTTGCAGTGAGCTGAGATCCGGCCACTGCACTCCAGCCTGGGTGACTGAGCGAGACTCCGTCTCAAAAAAAAAAAAAAAAAAGAAATGTCAAGGACCCAGGTGCAGGTGCTGCTAGCAGCGGAGGAAATGAATTAAGAATATTTATTTAGAAAATTTTTGGATCTTGAAAAGTTAGGGTTTAGTGAGTGCCACCACTCCTTGGTCCTTCACTCACTTCCTAATCCCTGGTTGACTGGTTTCCCCTTTCTCTTTTCTACTGAAATTATTATTTTCCTAGGATCACCATTGTCTTTCTAGGCACTGGATCCAGCAACTTCTATTGCGTGGTTCCAAAACATTCTGACTTATCTGTAACTATTGCCTTTCACAGTTGCCTTCTGTTCCATCTAAACGGAAATATTCACAATTCCCATTATATGGCCCAGCTTTCTCCATGGCGTTTTCTAGGGGTTTGTGTGTTTGATGAGTTGAAGGGCAAAAAGGTAGCTGAGAACAGTTTAGTTAACTAGAGCAAATCCTAGAGCTGAGAAGAATTAGAAAGGGATATAGACAAAGGTAGGTTTTAGAAGACCTTGAGAACAAATAGATATTTTGCCACTCCTTGGTTTCTCTTTTTCTGCCCAGCTTTTAAATCTTAGATTCTCAGGACTCTATTTTTGTTTTTTTCCTTTTTTTCTCTTTATACCAGGATGGCCTATAGTTGCCAACTTGGATCACTTGTCAGTGGTTGCCTGACATACTATGTAGAAGGATTCCGAGGCTTTGACTGGATTCATCAGGAGGGTGCTTTGCTTGATTGCAATGTTTCCTGTGAATTCAGGTGTGTCACGTGATGGCATGAGTGTGATTCTTCTCCATCCTGTCTATAGATCATCTTGCCTTGTGATGCCGTATAAACCCAAGGCTTTGGCAGCCTCCTATATGTTCACAGATGTTATCTCCAGCCCAAGCTTCATTTCCAAGTGTTGGATCCCTATAACCAACTGCCTCTGGGTTCCAATAAGAAATCTCTAACTCAGTATTTCAGTATTACTCACCTAAATCTTTCTCTGTAAATCTGTTTCTCCTCCCTGGATTCCTTGTGAATGAATGGTATCACCTCTCAGTCACTTGATTAAGACTTTTGGAAGAATAGGCTTCTCCATTCTCCAAAAAGATTTGCCTTTTTTGTCCTATAGACTTGACTTCTCTGTGTTTACCACCTTAATTCACCCCTTTATCACTTCTCCAAATAGGTCTCCCTGATTCTCTGGTTTCCTCCAGTGTTCCACAGTGCTGCCAGAGAAATGTTTCTTAGATGTAAATCTGACCATTGCTACTTCTTATTTAAGATTCCTTGCTGGTACTATATGTAGCTTTTGGGATAAAGTGTGAACTACTTAGCTTAGCATACAAAGTCCTTCATGATTTGCTTCCTACTTCTCTTTCCATTATCTTCTGTCTCTTTCCTACCTGTGCCTTTTGTTTCAACCACGGAACAATTTTGTTGGTTTTAGAACAGCTGTTTTCATGCCTCTGTGTCTTGCATACAGTTACTCTGCCTGGATAATCTCTAGCTTCTTCTTGACATGGCTAACATCCTCTTCTGCCTCTAACATTTTGTTTTAAAAATTTTCAAACATACAGCTAAGTTGAAAGAATTTTACATTGAACATTTGTGTTCTCAATCACTTATATTCTTCCATTAACATTTTATTTTACTTAGCTTATTACGTATCGGTCTGTTTATCCTGCTGTCAGAGTAAATTGCAGAGATCAATATACTTTACATACTTTAGCATGCAGTCATTAACTGAGTTCAGTATTTCAATTTTTTCTTTTTATGTAAAATTTACATACAATGAAATGTGCAATTTTAAGTGTACATTTCATAGCTTTTAACAAATGGAAAATATCTGTATAACCCAAACAGAGATCATTACCACCATTCTGGGAAGTTCCCTCATGTTCCCTCCAAGGCAATCTCTGTTCCTGTCCCCTCAGAGGTTTTTAAAATTTTTACTGAGGATTAATTTTTCTATTTTAACCCAGCTGGTTTTTTACCCTTTAAGATTCACTTCGAGCATCACCTCTTCCAGGAAATCTTTCCTGCTTTCCAATTTTGATTTAGATAGTTCTCCTCTGGGCTCCCACAGTCCAATCTGTGGCTTCACTGAATCCAGCACAAGGGAAAAGCTATTCTAGCACCCATCACACTTTACTGTAAGTGATGACTTCATTGTTTGACTCCTGCTAGACTATAGGTCATTCATAGCTGGATTGGTATCTTACTGCTAAACACAATGCTTGGCACATATGTAATGTGTGGTGAAAGTCTGTGGAATTAAACTACACAGACAGTGATGGTTAGAGGCTTTGGTTAAGAGCATGATAGTTGGCTGGGCGCGGTGGCTCACGTCTGTAATCCCAGCACTTTGGCAGGCCGAAATGGGCGGATCACGAGGTCAGGAGATTGAGACCATCCTGGCTAACACAGTGAAACCCCGTCTCTACTAAAAATACAAAAAAAAAAACCAAAAAACAAAACTAGCTGGGCGTAGTGGCGGGCGCCTATAGTCCCAGCTACTGGGGAGGCTGAGGCAGGAGAATGGCATGAACCCGGGAGGCGGAGCTTGCAGTGAGCCGAGATCGCGCCACTGCATTCCAGCCTGGGCGACTGAGCAAGACTCCATCTCAAGAAAAACAAACAAACAAAAAAACCAAAAAAGAGTATGATAGTTAAATTGATAGATCAGGAATAATGTTACAACTGTAACATTTTGGTCTAGTTCTTCGTTAATATTTGTTGAATGGCTTCAGTGTGCTTTGTCCTAAGTTCTTAGCAAAGTGACAGATTGATGAGTTTCAGAAAAATGAAGACTCAGATGTACAAAGTGGAGGATGGTACCTCTCATAGATTTTCTGAGTAACTGAGAAAAAGCGTTTGTTTATTTTGTTAGTATTTTATTTTTAAACTTTAATTAAATTAAATTTTATATTTTATTTTAATTACCTGTCACTGACTTTAAGTCCAGTATTTTGCTAGTATTTTTAAACCACTCTTTCTGCTCTTCTTTCCTACCTGCATACCTTTTTGTTGTCCTCTCTCCTAATCTGTCTTTACCTGGCAGTACATTTGGCCTGGTAGATTCAGATGGACCTTGCTATGCAGTGATGGTGTACAATATAGTGCAGAGCTGGGGAGTGCTCATTGGAGACTCTGTAGCCATCCCTGAGCCTAACCTGCGTCTTCACCGAATTCAGCACAAGGGAAAGGTGAGTGATGGCGAGGATTCTCTTCCAACTCATAGGCTCTAAAAGTAGAACCAAGCTTATCTTTTTATAAAAGATATAGAAATAATTATATGTGAGTATGTGTGTAGGTTATGTGTATATATATTTGTGTGTATATGTTTTATATATAGTTTTTTACTAAAAAGGTAAGCTGGTAAGCAAAAAAATAAAAAAATGGAGTGAAATATTATCACTCAGGTGTTATCACTCAGATGTTACTACTTTTTAACTGTTACTGTTAACAGTTTGGTGTATATACGTGAAGTCTTTTTTCTTTTCATAAATATATACACGTATATTTATATCTATATTTTAAATCATGAGTGGAATATTATATGCAAATGTTTGTGAATGTTTCCTATGTTTTTAAATATTTCACACATTGAGTAGACAGGGGATGATGAAGATGGTGATGATAGTTAACATTTATTTAACACTTAATTGAGTGCCAGACACTGTGCTAAGAGTTTTTATTGCCTGCCTTGTCCCATTCAATTCTTACAAAAACCTTATGAATGTAGATATTTAACCACTGTTTAACCATTTAGATCAGGGGTTGGCAAAGCCCATGGACCAAATCTGGCTCACTGCTTGTTTTTATTAAGAATGGTTTTTAGGCTGGGCATGGTGGCTCATGCCTAAAATCCCAGCACTTTTGGAAGGCCAAAGTGGGAGGATCACTTGAGCCCAGGAGTTTAAGACCAACCTGGGCAACACATAGTGAGACCCTGTCTCTACAAAAAGATGTTTAAAAACTTAGCCAGGTATTGCAGCACATGCCTGTAGTCCCAGCTACTGAGGAGGTTGAAGTGAGAACCACTTTATCCCAGGAGTTTGAGGCTACAGTAAGCCATCATTGTCTCATTGTATGCCAGCCTGGGTGATAGAGAAAGTCTTTGCCTCAAAAAAAAAAAAAAAAAAAAAAAAA